GCAATAATTGTCCCTTTTCTATTTCAGTAGATTCAAATGAGATTGGACAAAGAACCAGTATTTTGGCCTAAGGAATTCCGGAGAGGCAGAAGAAAAACAAGTCATTAATAACTTAACAGCTACAAAACTATTTGTTTGACATCTTTAACAGTTTTAGTTTACTAATTAAACAATAACAACAAGAAAAAAAACTAAAAAAAAATTTTTTTCTTTTTTTGAACGCATTTGTCATTAATTTTACAAAACAGTCATCGTCACCGTCGTTACTGGGTTCAGGTTTTTAAAACTTTCTTTTTAACATTTCAAAACTGCGTACTGACTCACTGGTACTGTTGAGCACAAAGAACAACATGATTGGTCACAAAAAGTCACTTGTCTCTGATGAACGTGCTTTGTCAGTGGAGAGAATGACGATGGAAACAAAAAGAAAGTCTAACGCAATAAAAAGTACAAATAAAAAGTGCTGACCGACATATCCATTTACCACATTCAATCTATCTCTTAATTCATTATTGTGACAATCACTGACTATTTTTAATCGTAGTTTGTTTATTATTCGGAGAACAGTGTTTTCAGAAGGCAGAACAAAAAGATTTCCCAGTGCTTTCTTTTAATGTTCAGTTTTGCTTTCCGCCACAATAAAAAAAGTCAAAAAGAAATTCTTCGTAAAATTTTTTAAAAAAAAAAATTTGAAAAAGATTTTTTCCAATGACTTTTCAATGTGATTTGTGGGAGTAAAAGGAAAGCAAGCCATAAGTTTCATTATTTTACCGTAATAGGTAGTCACAAATATTATACGGCATTTCTCAGAACGAATCAATCGCAGCAGGGCATGCTGTAGCTCGAATTTCAGAAAAACGCCTGCATCTTATACTAATTTTGCAACTTTAAACTTACTTCTTCTTTGTTACTTAAACTCGACGGTGGTAATAAGCTGCTAACACTTTTCCATAAAACTAAGGGGTTGGAATTTGCGTCGAACCGTATACCTCATGGAAAATCCATACTGCAAAAAATGAAATATATTACGCCACAGGTCACTGTTAGCCCGCTGGTTTTTTTTTAGCAATGCAGAAGAAACAAATTTTTCTAATTTCCCTTGTCTCCACCTCCTTGTCATTCAGCGGCCTCAGCGTTTTTGTGGTGACCCTTCACCAATGACTTTCAGGAGCGAGACCCACAGGAGCAAGCAAGAAAACAGCGAATCAAAATCTTAACTTTTTTCACTGCCCTAGGCCATTGTATTTGGGCCGTGCAGAAGGCAGTATTTTTGACAACATGAATGAGACAAAAAAAAGTTTAGACTTGTTTACAACTGTTTGGCAGTAACGGCAGTAATAAGAAGAATACCTATGAGAGATGATAACAGTAAATAAGTTAAGTGTTAATGTCAAAAAGAAAATTAAACAAATAATTAGCGAAAAGCACGTGGTCTTTAGACAGTGACGTATTTCTCGTGCTCTTTTCATTCTTTTTACACTTTCATATGTCATTTTCCAAATTTTTTGATTCATTTCTTATAACTAACTGTTTTAAGCAGATTGCACATAATTTTAATTACAACTTGTTGTTGATGTTTTGCCATTTTTCATTTAAAAAGAAACAAAATAACGTCACTTTTTTTTCTGCTAAAAATTAGTTAATGGATCAAAGCAGCGAAACCAAAATGCGTAAACAGAGAGGAATTTTAGGAAAGTCAGCTAGAAGTTATTGCCACAGTTGCTACAGCAGTGTCAGAAGAATTTCGTATAGAGAATTAGGAAAATACAGCGAGTCCTTAATCATTTCTCATCCCACCTTCCAACCAATAATTTTCTAATTTCTCACGCAGTCTTCAAAAAAAAAGGGACTTTTCTTTGCATTTAAACTGACAAAAATTTATTATAAAGTATGATTAGCGCTGCATATTTTGTCCACAAATAAACTACGCGTTCCTCTCAAATTAGTAGACTATTCTGTAACGCCAAAATAGAAGGAAAAATTTAGAATGAAATAGTTATGACAGTGCTTTCAATGACATATGAAGCTCGTAAACAATTTTTGAGTATGATTTAATTACAAGAGCCAAAATAAGCAAAATCTTTTTATCAGGTTTTCCACGATATCCCCAGATGTAGTAGTAGCACTTTAAAAGAGACAGCAAAAAATGAATGACGTCAAAAAGTCAAGCAAAGATTGATCAGTTTATTTGTTTCTGATCTAATGGTCGTCACAAGCAAATAAGACGTTTCTCTAAACTGAAAAGAAAAAAATCCTTTACTTGATTTGAGAAAAAAAGCAAGGCTGTCTTCCATAAATATAAAAACGCAGAATCACATTGCAAAATAAAGATGAAACTGATATGAAAAGCGTAAAAAAAATTTTTTTACAGTGATCTGCGACCAGCCGACGGCAAAGCTGACGTTGGCGAACACTGTCAGTCTAACGACAGTCTTCCAAAAATAGTCTTTCCTGAGTGTATTTTAAAAAAATATCTTGGGATAAAAACAGGTTTTATGTTTAATTTAATCATGCTAATATTATCTGGCGTTCATGTTAAAAAAATAAAAGCGCTTAAGCACTTCGAAATGTTCGCATAGATGCATTAAAATCGGTATATGAAAAACAGTCAATTTAGTCTTTTTGAGTTATATTTATATGCAACAAATAGTAGCTAGTAGAGAGTGGCTCTTTTTGTTGTTGTTTGCTATTACTATTTTCCCTTTGATCAGGATATTTCGGGTGGGTTAATCCGCAGAGAAATTCTGAGCAGAGTTCTTGGCATGAACAGTCTTCCATAATACCTGTTGCAGAAGTTTAACTTTACTGAATTGGTTGTTTTACGTATGGAAACGTATAGAAAAAACATTCATTTTTTAAACAAGAAAATTTTTTCCACAGTTTCAATGGTCATTATTTTTTACGAAAGAACAAAATTTGGCGTTCATCAAGTGTTGTTCCTAAATTAATTTTTCAAAAATAGACAGTATTTACAAGCATACGTAGCGTGTGCGCTAGGCATAAAACCAACTAACCCAAGCAAACAATCAAGTCCAATGTACTTGTTAAGACTGGTGTTTACCTCGGAAATCGCGCGGTTGTACAAACCACGTGGCACTACAAATAAACAAACAATCATATACGCATGCCAAAAAATTCGAAAAAGATTGGCTGAAAGTTAAATACGAAATCAACTGATTTTAGTCATCGGTTGTAGAAATAATTTTAAGAACAGGAAAAAGGGCAAAATTAGAATCAAAGCCGTCGTTAATTAGTGAAGGAAGAACGATTAGTTTTGAAACTTTTTGTGAGCACATTAACTCTGATGACTAATTTTTATTTTTTTTCCTGGTCCCAACAACAACAGATTCCTACACTAGTCACAAAATTCATTCGAAATATTGCGCATCTTAATGATATTTTTGCTTAAATGAAGCACAAGTTCTCAAGCAAAACTGACACTAACAACGAGAGGAAATGAATAGAAATTGTAACACACTCTTTGTGCAGCTCACTGAGTCTGCCGAACGGTCAAAATTAAAATTTATTTATTTAATAACATTTTAACCAATAATTTTCTGAAATAGCCTGTCAAATTTCTAATCGAAAATCAACTTCTTACATTTAATAACCAAGCCAGATTGATAACTGAAGGTTTAGTTATTTCTTTATCGTTTTATAGATAATTAGAAGTTAGGGGGCTTTTCCTCAACTCCGTCATAGAGGCACTGCAAAATTTTTCTGGATGACGGCTTGTTCCTGGTACATTACGCATGATACCCATTTGCCTTTTTCTTGTCGTTGGATTAGTTCGATAAATGAATACCACTAGTAGTTTGCAGACAACCTTTACCGGTTTGCCTACTTTTGAACTATCAGTCCCGGAGAGCAATATTTACACTTCCTCTCAACGATTTCAGCACATTTAGTCGTCCATAACAGTGATTTTGATGAACTTCTGCGGTTATCGTTGTTGCTATTTGCTTTGTTTGTTTACTTTTGTAGTTTTACCCCTCTTTATCGGTGGATGGAGCGGAAAAAAAATTCTGATTTTGTTTTTAACAATACTTTATTTATTTGAATTTTTTTTGTTACTATCGTTGTTATTATTATTATTGTTATTGTTGTTTTCCTTGTTATTGTTGTTGTTATTGTTCCAATAAAAACTTAAAAAAAACTCAGTTTTTGTATTTTACATTTTCGTCATTTTAAAAACCAACATGTTTACCAATGTTTACGTTTTT